AATAAATATAACATATGAACTATATGTTAATCAACTAATTATGTTATCATTAAGACTTCTGGTCAAGAGTAGGCTGTCAGTAGTTAAGTTTTGGGAGAATCGAAAGTTATGTGCAAATTTTTATCTGTGCACCCCTAACCCCCATGTTATTCGACGGTCAACTGAACATATATACAGGTGACCTTTGGAAAAGACAGGCTTGAACTGTAAGCCTCCACTTATAAGCAGATTTATTTTTTTCCAATTGGATGTAGACTGTATTCTTAGGACGCAAAATCTATCTATATGGAAAAACAAATGTTCACATAAGTGGGATCCAAACGGCCGACTGCAGGACCTGAGTATGCATGGATTTCAGTATACATTTGAGTGGGATATCTGTAATCAATCCCCTTCATATACAAAGGGGGAGCCATGTATAGTTTTACTTCTGTTTTCTATTTACTGTCATGTGACAAATATGTTTTGGTCAATAATGAATTGCATATATGATGGTGGTCCCATAAGATTAAAATACCATATTTTTATTGCACCTTTTCTGTGTTTAGATATACAAATATCACCGTGCTCCAGTTGCCTACAGTATTCGGTATGGTAACACACTGTAACTGTCTGTAGCCTAAGAGTCCTAGACTGTGCCATATATCTCAGTGAGTGGTAGGCTGTATCATCTGGTTTGTGTAAATACATTCTGTGATGTTTGCACAACAACAAATTTGCCTAACAATGTATCAGAATGTATCCTGGTCATTCAGCTCTGCCTGTTTCTCTGAAGAGCCCCAACAGATACAGAAAGTATAAGATGAGAACAGAACACCATCTTGAGCCATAAGGTAATTAAGTGCTCAAAGAATGATGGACACATATCAAAAGACACAAAACCCAACTAAAAGATGTTCCCACAGCCTGCCAAATCTGGGGCAATATGAGCAGCAAAATAACTAATGATAGTTACTAATTACAATCCAGTAAATTGATAAGACCACTTACATAACTAACTACGTGAATAAAGTGAAAGCTTGATAATTACATAGTGGAGAAGCCTTACAAATACATCCCTAATCAAGTGAAGTGCACATCACCAAAAAGAGGACATATTTGAATGCGTTACTTCATAGAATACGCTGAAATCATAGCTTCATTTTTCTTGAGTTTGATTGTATGAAAATTAGATGAGCCCAAATAAAGGAAAGTCTGCAAAACGTCTGGTCACTAACTCTCAAGAGTCGAGATCCTGAAAGTCGAGGAAAGATTGAGGAGTTACTCCAGATGGAAACCTAAAAATATGTTATAAGTGATTCTGATTTGAATCCATCTTCTGAAATCATAAGTACCAATGCTTAAACAGATCTGAAGATTAAGTGGTTGTATTACTCTGCCTGGACTGCCAAAACAGAATACCTGGGTAGCTTAAATGACAGAAACTTATTTTCTCACAATTTTGGAGGCTAGAAGACCAGGCTGTCATGATGTTAGTTTCTGGTAAGATCCCTTTTCTTGGCTTGTTGACAGACACTTTCTCCCTGTGCCTCAAAGGGCCTTTCCTCTGTCAGCAGGCACCCCTAGTGTCTCCTCCTCTGTTAAAAACACCAATTCTATTTGATTAGTTCCATACCCTTTTGATTCATTGAAGCTTAATTATCTCCCTAAAGCCTCTATTTCTAAATACAGTCACATTGAGGGTTAGGGTTTTAAAAGATACATTTTAGGTGAACGTAGTTCACTCTGTAACATTGGTAGAGATGTAGTCATGTTAATTTTTTAATTTTGATGTTTATAGTGTTGTTCTATAGGAGAATGTTTTTGTTATAGAAATTATACCTTAAGTATTTCAGTGGTGATGGGACATCATGTTGACAACTTATCCTCTATTAAGGAAAATGTTATTTATGTAATATTTGGATATTTGTGTTAAGTGTGAGAGTTTTTCAAAATTAAAACAAAATAAACTAAAACAAAATTCTAATCATTAAAAGCAATGAAATAAATCCAAATTGAGGAACATTTTACAAAACAGCAGGCCTCTTTACATCATAAACACTAATGTCCTGAAAAACATGACAACCAAATACAAACACATGAGCCTGACTAGAAAACCAAAGCTGGGGGGTGCCATAAAGGAAGGCATTGCAAAAAATGAGCATAATTTTAATGTGGATAATAACTTTTAACAACGTTAAGTTTTCTAAACTTGATCATTGCTTTGTGGTTATATAAGATAATGTCCTTTTTTAAAGAAATGTATGCACAGTTAAGATGATAGTGTATGATATCTACAACTTACCATCTTTTTCAGAAAAGATTAATAAACAGACAAAGTATTGGCAAAATACAGAAAAATATGTGAATTTAAATACAGAAATTATAAAAGTTATTTTAAACATTTCACAATCTTTATAAAGATCTGATTTTTGTTTCAGAATAAAGGTATAATTAAAAAATAATACTCTCTAGAAAATAGAAATGAAAGGCTATTTCCTACTCACAACAGCAATCTAAGAACAGATTTAATAAGAAATTTTTAGGACTTATATAAAGAGACCTAAAAAGACTTTTCTGGGAGCTATAATAGTCTGAAAAAAGTAGAGAAAGCATTAAACCATATTAGTAATTACCAAAAAAAAAAAAAAAAAAATGAAAATAGGTATGAGATTGTTCTTCCCATCAATTTGAAAAGTAAATTGTAAAATAATATTTATAATACAAGTATTGTAAGTGTATAGAGAAGTGAGCTTTCTTATGCCCTACTTAAGGAATTTCATTTAATATAACCTCTCTTTTAAACAACTCCAGATAGTCCACACCCTTTGGAGGGGTGTGAAATCACTCAACTCTTTTCTTGCAGATCTATTCCCCTATAATTACCCCCACTTGACTCAGAATAGGTTGAACCAAGGAGAAACACTGATGGGAGATTTCAGACAGATAAAGAAAGTAGTGAGAGTGTTTCTACTTCTATCTCTGGCCAGAAGTCTCTGTAGTTTCAAATCATCATTTTGCCCAAGCTGTGATCCCAGCTTCCACCCGGAAGCCAGCCCTAATTCTTGGCTGATAATATGGCTATCTCCTCTTTTGCCCTTTAAACCTGAGTGAGAATATCAGCTTCAACCTTTTGCTAACTTCTGAGTTGCCTCATTGCCCCATTTGTCTTTCAAATATGTTCTTGAAAGTAGATCTGTAAGTAGTTTCTCTTTTAAAATGCTCTCTGTTGCACCACCTGGCATAAGTTTTGTTTTACTGATGGGACTTTGATTGATATGACTGTAAATCCTCCTGTGTATCCCAAAGACATACTACATTAAACATCTGAGTTCAAGATTGCTCATCATGGTTCTATGAACTAGCAAAATGGAGGAGGAAGCATTTAAATACCTAAAGATAGTTTATTGGTTAAAGATATAGTTCATTCTTATTAGATAACCATTATTTAGTTACCAAAAATTCTGTCTTTTAGTTCTTATGTTTCAGAAAGTTGTTCAGCCCATAAAATTTAGTGAAATACAATGTATCCAATTTTTGTAATATCCTGAAATGAGCAAGTAGAATAAGCTTTTTATCATTGATTTTCTAATTGCTGAGATTGCCGGTTATGAGGGTTTTTTTTTTTTGTATTTCTCATATTTTCAAAACAATATATTTAATTCTATTGTGAATAGTGCCACAATAAACATATGTGTGCATGTGTCTTTATAGCACCATGATTTATAACCCTTTGGATATATACCCAGTAATGGGATGGCTGGGTCAAATGGTATTTCTAGTTCTAGATCCTTGAGGAATCGCCACACTGTCTTCCACAATGGTTGAACTACTTTACAGTTCCACCAACAGTGTAAAAGTGTTCCTATTTCTCTACATCCTCTCCAGCACCTGTTGTTTCCTGACTTTTTAATGATTGCCATTCTAACTGGTGTGAGATGGTATCTCGTTGTGGTTTTGATTTGCATTTCCCTGATGGCGAGTGATGTTGAGCACTTTTTCACGTGTATGTTGGCTGTATGAATGTCTTCTTTTGAGAAGTGTCTGTTCCTATCCTTTGCCCACTTTTTGATGGGGTTATTTGTCTTTTACTTGTAGATTTGTTTGGGTTCTTTGTAGATTCTGGATATTAGCCCTCTGTCAGATGAGTAGATTGCAAAAATGTTCTCCCATTCTGTAGGTTGCCTGTTCACTCTGATGGTAGTTTCTTTTGCTGTGCAGAAGCTTTTTAGTTTGATTAGATCCCATTTGTCAATTTTGACTTTTGTTGCCATTGCTTTTGGTGTTTTAGACATGAAGTCCTTGCCCATGCCTATGTCCTGAATGGTATTGCCTAAGTTTTCTTCAAGGGTTTTTATGGTGTTAAGTCTAACATTTAAGTCTCTAATCCATCTTGAATTAATTTTTGTATAAGGGTTAAGGAAGGGATCCAGTTTGTCCATCAATGACAGACTGGATTAAGAAAATGTGGCACATTTATACCATGGAATACTATGCAGCCACAAAAAAGGATGCGTTCGTGTCCTTTGTTGGGACATGGATGCAGCTGGAAACCATCATTCTCAGCAAACTATCGCAAGAACAGAAAACCAAACACCGCAAGTTCTCACTCATAGGTGGGAATTGAACAATGAGATCACTTGGACACAGGAAGGGGAACATCACACACTGGGGCCTATTGTGGGGTGAGGGGAGGGGGGAGGGATAGCCTTACATTATAAGATATACCTAATGTAAATGATGAGTTAATGGATGTAGCACACCAACATGGCACATGTATACAGATGTAACAGACCTGCACGTTGTGCACATGTACCCTAGAACATAAAGTATAATTAAAAAAATTAAAAATACAGTATTGCCAATTAAAAATTCAAAATTTAAAAAAAAAGTGGTTTATAGGTGACAGAATGAATGAATGAATGGCCAGAAAGGAAGTAAGGACCTGATCTCTTCAGACTCTGAAAATGAGGAGAAAAAAGGAAAAATAAAATAATAATTCCACAACCTTTTTCCCAGAGTTGAAAAACAGGTGGTTTTATTAGGTGTTCCACATTAAGATCAACCCTCAACTCATCTGTTCTGTCCTGTCCCACATGATTATTGGTCAATGAAGCCATTTTATGACATTTTCCAAAAACGAATAGGGGAACCACTCAGCAGGAGGCCAGGATTTTATTCACAGAAATGTGGGCGAGAGAAAGTTTTATTAAATAGTAGTATAAGTGGGTTTCACCTTCATGGCAGTTTCTGATTTTTCTTAACAGTTAAAATATGTTATAAATATTTATCTATCATACACTTGTATTTTGACGTTGGTAAGACCTAATTTTCCCCTCCATCTGACTTCGTGTAATATGTTATCATTTATGGCTATTAAATATGATGTTATGTGATTAATTCTGTGTATCTTATGCTACATATATTTGGCAAATATTAAAGTTATATTAAAATATATAAAGAATATATTTAATTCTATATAATTAAACAATAACTGTTACTTAGAGAAAAAAGTTTCTGGATGAGCATGCATGAAGTCATTTGTCCTTCTGCTGCAAATGTCTCTCTTTGTATTCTTTAAGGAACTAAATAATACTGCATTAAGGTGTAATCAACATTGAAGATATATCTGCATCAAACATGCTGTCTTTCATTCCTGACACATTAAAGTGATTACAGTCTATTCTCATTATTCATAGACTGCTTGTTGGTAAATTTGCCTACACAGTGAAATATATTTAGAACCCCAAATCAATACTCATGATGCCTTCTCCATCATCTGAGGACATGTGCAAATCAGTGAAAATGTTGAGTCGTCTGACGCACATGTTTTTAACTGAGATCTAATAAGGCCATGCTCTGCCTTCTTATCTCAACTCTCATGCTGTAAACAAGTGTCCTAGTCTCCTTAGTGCCATGCTCTTTATTTTTTTCATTTTTGTTGGCAATTTCACTGTTTAAAATGGCCCCTAAACAGTACTGAAGTGCTGTCTAGATTTCCTAAGTGCAAGAAGTCTGTGGTGTGTCTTCCAAAGAAAATATGCATGTTACATAAGCTTCATTTGGTCATGAGTTATAGTGCTGTTGGTTGTGAGTTCAATGTGAATAAGTCAACAACATAGATTAAATAAGGCATCTTTAAACAGGCACACACATAAAACAACATTGCATATTGACTGGTTGATGAAAATGTGACCAGATGCTCTCAGGAACCTAGCCCTGTGTTTCTCCCAGGAGCAAAGGTTCAGTATTTGCTAAATCAGGGTTTGTGGGTAATTTATAGAACATAACTACCACAAATAATGAGAATCAACTGTTTTGGACCTCTTTTTCTAAATAGTTTCTATATGTTGTCTTAGCACTTTATAGCTTGCTCACAAGTGTTTCAGGAAAATGTCATTTATTTACAACAACATTATCTGAAGCACTCTCTGAAGGGCCCTAATGTTTTAGGTGAGCTCTCAGTGGGCACCTTCATGTGGATCCAAGGAGATTCATAGTCTCTGCGTTTTCTGCCTCAATCTATCTGTGTTTCCTTGGCTTCATCTGTATTACGTGTTGAGACTCCATGTTGGTTCTTATTAATGTGATTTCTGCCAAAAAAATAGAAAAAGAAAAGAAAATCACAGATATTAAGGCACTTTACAGTCAATGATGATGATATTTGAATTAATATAGTTACTGTTATTATTTTAAACATAGAGAACTTGAAAATAGTGTCTTACAGTAAAATCCTAGATGCTAAGTAATTACAATTGCATAATAGAAAAGGAAAGCCTTTTGCTGCATTGTATTTTTAAGCAAATTGCCTAATTTCTTCAGAATTAATATCTATTAATTCAATATTTTAATGAAATAACTAGGTTGTGTAGGTTGTGAGCAAGAACACTGTCAGGGATAATGAAGTAAAAAGTGACTATAACAATTTTCATCCGTAGAGGAGGTGCTTGGCAACTATTTGGAAAGGAGAGGAATGACCAAGGATAAGATTTAAAGGTCACTCAGAGGTAGCTTCAAGCTAGAATAATTGACGCGTGGCGGTGAGGGTGTTTGGCGTGAGAGGAGGTCAAGATTGACAATAAGAGACATCAGAGACATTGCTAAGAGAGAAGAAACACACCTGATCTGGGTGGAAAAGTATTGCGTGGATTTTTTTTTCTTTTTATATGTGTGCAATTAGCTGGTGAAATATATAAACTGAGAGAGATGTTCACCAAGCAATCTGAGGCAGAAAAATTTGAGACAGAAAAGGAAGACAAGGATGGACATATTTGGGGAGATTTTCATGGTTTAGTAACACTACTCATCTATGTTGAGAAGTGTCAGTTAAGTTTTACAATTGGGCAAAATGTTTAAGGAAAGAAGTTTTACTCTGAAGATGTAAAGAAAGCATAACCGGTGATTAAATGTCCACATAGGCAGCATGCCATATTTGAGCTCCCTCCTGAGTAAGAAAAGAAAATAACACAGTTTCAGTGTGAAGTCCCCTATGCCTGATTTCTGATGGCTCTACTAAATGTTGTACAGGGTAAATGCACATCACAGTTTCTCTCTTTTTAACAAAAACAACAACAAACGGATTATACTATGAATTAAGGACAAATACTAAGAAGATCTTTACACATTAAAATTTGATTCCAAAATAAATCTCTAAATGTTACTCTCCTCTCTCTCTCTTCATACTATAATTATCAAACTAATACCTAAACAAATATGGATCAAACTAAATATGTCTATTAAACTTTGGTTAACATATACATGTCAGATTAAATTGTAGTTGCGAGACTATAGAAATAAATAATATAGTCTATGACCACAAAAATCTCCGTCTAGTGGGAAGGTGGACAATAAACCAAAGATTACAGCACAGCAGGACAGTGCAAATACTATGGAAAAATTTTGCTCAAAATGTGTGATAATAAAGTGAAGGACTGCCTAACTGTTGAAAGTGAGGGATGTGGGGATAGTGAATAGTTACTATTAGACATATGATAGCCATTTGTAATTATTTGGAAATTGCTGAAACTTTAGACACATGATTTTTGTGTGTCCTAGACCCATCAAATGAAAATTTTTCCAGAGAGGAGTAAAAGTGTACACACAAACACACATAACCCATACACACTCACATGCTTTAGTCAAACCTTCAATCTGACGATCATGCTGACATATAAAATCCAAGTTGCTTGACACCTGTGCCATAGTTGTTGGAAGTTGCCACTGACATATATCAAACATTTCTTCAATGAAAAGCTATGTTTATTGAAGAAGTTCATTGAAAAGCTATATTTCAATGAAAGGCACATAATTTTTTGACTTCTAATGAAACTGACCAGGAGACATTGAAAAGGAGGGCATAATAGTGGGATTGGATTTAAGTAGTGAGATTAGAGAACTCACGGAAGATGACGTTTGAGTTAAAAGTGATGTCACAAATGACAACACGTGGGGAAGGGTTTAAAATCTAATTCTGGTCACATTCTTTAGCTCAGATTGCATTTTATAAAAATCTGATCATCAATCCTCTAATTCATCCTGAGATGGAGAAAGGCCTAGACTTCTCATCAACAGTGTAGTTATTCAGAGGTTTTTTGTTTGTTTGTTTTTGTTTTTTTTTTTTAAAGTAGCCCTATGAGAGCTGCAACAAGTAAATTCTCCTGGAGTTTTCATGATAAAGAGGGCATTTTTTCTGCAAGCTGAGGATAGCTTCATAGAAGAGCAGACTGGATGAAGACATACAAACTGATAGACACCTAAAAACAGTATGGGGGGAAAAAAGGCAACAAAGGTAATACGTGTCTGATATTGACATTTACAATATCTAATACTTTAATGTTTCAATCCAATTTACAAGTTTATTATTTTCAGCTTTAGAAGCCACATGAATAAGAAAACGAAACACTAGAAACCAAAGACTTGCTGATCTTTTACCCTAAAATACCATCCTTGAGAAACTGCTTTCGAGAGACTTTGGCATTTCAAGTTAAGATCTTACTTGGCAGCACTGCTCTCTTCTTTACATTGTTCCAGGAAAGTGTGGAGTTTAAGGAAATGGAATTTTTATACCCTTTTTATCCCCTTGGCTACCGATGCATTGATATTTTGGCACTCTCTGTAAGATCTCAGAGCTTTTCTGCAGTGCATTTTATTTTTAGAAAATTCTTTTAGCTCTATCTGCTTCTGTCATCTTTCACACAGGTGACAGACACACACACACACATGCGTGCACGTGTGAGGAAAGTGGAGAAAATCCCTTTTTTAGATGTACTTTTAAGGAGTTACAGAGTTTTCTCTCCTATACGAAGCAAATTGAGGTTGAAAATCTTGTTCAAAGTTTCTGTAAAGCATGTAGTCTAAAAAACTTCATTATTGATGTATTCAGAATGTATCATTACATGTTTGCTGTACTGTTTAAGTAATAATTCCTCAAAGGAACTTATTAATAATAACAATAATTACTATTCTTATACAATTTCAGCTATCAGGATTTATTCAATCTTTTTTTTATTTAATACTGCCTCTTATGGATATAGTTTTATAGATAGAGTAACAATCTTATCAGAGCAAAAAACTATCATTGAATTGTATGTAAGGTTTACACCTAGTCTTTATAATGCCAAACTATTTATTAGCCCCAGAAAACATCTTATTAAAAGATTCTCTTAACAAAACTTGAAACTAGTTTGAAATTATACTTCAAAGTGTCCTCCACTTTTTCCTAAAAATGAAATGTAGAAGGGAAGGGAGAAAGGTTTAGCATTGGTGGAAAGCCCCTATTCCCACAATTTTCAGGATAAAAAGAATTCTGATTCTAGATACAGAGAGAATGCCCTAACATGATTTTTAGATAATAAAAATGAATTAATAAATATGCAATGCAGAAGGAAAATTTCAAAGAATAAGCTTCTACTCCATCAACACTGTGGGCTCATGCCCTTTGAATCATAATTTCTGAGTACTGAGGCAATTTTTTCTTTAATGAAACAGTTGTCCGTCTCTGTCCAATAATACCCTGTGTGCACAGCAAGCCAATGTCTGGCACAAAATGTAATATTATTTCTCAATTATATATTTTCATCTATTGACAACTGCTGAAACAGCAAACAAATAAGCCACAAGCGTTGTTGGAGCTTTCATAGAGTTTCTATCAGTCTTTTACTTTAGGCAAATCTCCTCTGATGAAGGTTAGCCAAGCCTAAATTGTTAAATACATTTTATCGAATGAACATTTAACTCCTATACTAATGCATAGGCGATTTTCTTGACAGACTAAAGTTTCAAATTAAGCAGTACGCTGTATTAAACAACATGGTAAAAATACACATATATACCTTGAAAGTAATTTTGCTTTTATATAACCTGGACTGATGAAACTTGGCCATAGGAAAAAGATCTGAACATCTGAACATTTATTTATAGCAATTGTAAATGTGATAGCTAATTTTATTGTGTCAACTTGACTGGAATACGGGATGATCAGGCATCTGGATCAGGATTATTTTTGGATGGGTCTCTCCACAGGTGTTTCCTGAGCGTGTTTCCTAATGAGATTAGCAATGAATCAGTGGAGTCAGTCATGTAGATTTCCCTCCCCATTGTGGGGATGCCACCAGGATGAGTGAGCATCAACCAATTGGTTGAGAGCCTGAATAGAACACACGAAAGAAGGAAAGATTCATCCCCTTTTTGCTTTCCTCCTGCCCACTTAAGGTGGAACACTTCATCTCATTTTCTCCAGTTATCAGGCTGGTATTATACCATCTCCTCAGGACTTCAGAATTGGACTGAATTATACCACCAGATTTCCTGGGTCTCCAGCCTGCAGATGGGAGATTGTGAAACTTCTCAGCCTCTATAATCACATGAGCCAATTCCTCATAATAAATCACCTTTTATGCATATACCCATGCATACACATATACACACACACACACATATCCTAATGGTTCTGTTTTTCTGATTAATGCAATAAATTTTTATCACTAATGAGACATGTCATGTGAAATGTTTCTCAGAGTATACCAAATTTACAAAATAAAAAAAATAATAACATCCCAACATAAGCATTATCTGCTCCAGATAGGATACTTTTTTGCAAAGGGATTTGATTTTAGATGATTAAGCATAAAAGTTGTTTAAAAAATATTGGGGAGCTCAAGGTACCTTTGGGATGACTGCCAGGTGGCTAAAGTATAATCGTTCAGAAACAGTGCTGAGAGCAACAAGAAGATCTACCTAAAAAGAAAGTTTCACAACTGCCATGGCCACCATAGATCTGCCATGTGCACTGCTACCAGGCTGTTGACTTGCCCTGCAATCCATGTGTTAACAGCAGTCACATCACTGAGAACCCATTGATGCAGCCAATTTTTCTTTGTAATCCACAAGCTTCTACAGTCACCTTTATGAATAAAACTTATTTACATGGATGTACCTTCCCTAAGGTGCTCAAGTTTGAACAGAATTTTCACTGGGCTGAATCTCATTGGTAAAACCTAGGCAATATGCCTGTGGCCAGGACATAAAGGTGCCAGTGGAAGAACATTTGGCAGCAGTTGCGGGGGTTCTACTTTAAGAAGAAAGTACTCATATG